GCAGATCCAAAAGCGTTCGTTCCCTGTCATGACTACGTAAGAAGCGGTAGGAAAAAATTAGAAGAGAAACTCAAATGCTACAGTAGTGTGCAGTAGTTCCGGGCTGGTTAGCAGGGACTAAGTGTTGATTTTCTACTCTCTTTAATATATTAATCTCGCTGAATTTGTAGCACGTTAACACCATACGCCCCTTTAATAATGGATCACTCGTCACAACACAACCTATAGTATTTTGTTTAAGGTATGATTAAATATTTTATTTTTTTAATTTTATGAGTTGATAGGAGTTTTAATGTAATTCACATCTCGGTGGGGGTGTAACTCAAATATTTTCTATTACAAATGCTCGTTCCCAACAATGTTTTGATCATAGGAATGCGTTAAAAAGTAATCATATAGTTATGTATTCTTCAGCATTTACATGAAAGTAACGTGCGCTGAGTGCCCCTCCATGAACTCAGTGAACAATAGGCGGCAACGTCTTAGATAGTTGCAATATATTTGCTCCCAGTCGTGCTCATTTTTCCACGATTAACTTTACCTTAATGATTTTAGAGCAATAAATTTAAATTTCACGCCTTATCAAGAGAAAAAATGTAGCGAAAGCCAGTGATACAAGTGTCATGGTGTAGTGGCCTTACTGGCGTCGCTTGTGTTTCTTATAGAGTTAACTACACGTCCTGTAAGAGCTCGTTAACTAAAACGATATTTGGTACATTTAAAAAAGGTTACAGTGCACACAGTTATGCATAAAACCGATCAATGTAATGTATTATATTTAAAAGCATTACCGTGAGCTCTCCTTTGTGATAAACTCAGTTTAAATAATGTACAAGTTTCGAAAATCCACGTTTCATTACGGTGGTGGTCGCTGGGGAAAGAGTTATGCTGTGTGTTTATTAATAAAAGGCTGGTAGATTGTGCGTTGATAGCTGCTGGTTGATTCTTGTTGATGTTTAAAATGGACAGATATGAAGAAGGGGAGACTTAGGATGATCCTATCTATCTTTTGCGGCCGCAGCAAAGACAATTTGCTTGTTCTCCCTGGGTTCGCCTTAAGTCTATTTCTGACCTACGATCTATGCAAGATCGCAATCAATGACCTAGTCTCAGAGCTGCACATATAATGCCAACTGACCTATAAAGAAAATGTGTCCTACGTATTACGTAGTAGGGCGTGCAGGATACATCTATTTTTTAAAATAGGTCAATCGAAATGAGGTTTTAAAAGTTCGGCATTTACCTTGCCTACAGTTCGTAATTTTCACACCCCATAAGGTAGCAATTAGAGAGAAAAAATGATGATAAGATAATTGTATGCATGTCTCAGTCCTGATTACGTATCCTAGCTTATGTGCCTTGTAACGCCATATCTTGCAACCAGTCTGACTATGTGCAAAGATAAGTTTGATGATTTGCTATTTATTGCACTAAAAAGTCGTAAAGGAATTAACGGCGTACTGAAAGCGATTAAACTTGAACTTGTGGCACATAAACTAAGTCCGCAACTGTACAAATAAACTTCTGAAAGCTAGCGACTCGTTTAAAAATACAGAGCAGTAAGAGTGGTATAACTTACGCGATCGCCCACTGGAGTTATTTAAGCATAGAGAAATCCATTCTCTAACCTACTGCCTTAGCTACCGACTAGGCGAACTGCCCTAATGAATTAGAGCTTGAATAAAAAAATAGTCTCTTCTACGATTTACAGGTGTTTGACCATCATCCAAAAGTAAAGTACAACCTCACTCCATCTTTTTTCACCTTCGATCAAATCACCATATTGCTAATTACTTTTATTTTTTTTAAATGGCGCTAAATATTCACTCCTTCGCAATAACTATCGACTCCTCACACTTACGATGTTACATTTTGTTAATAACAATCAAGTCATCGATCATCTTATCCCTAAATGGTCAGACAAAAATTGGTACGAACACTCCCAATGACAACATGTACGTGCGAACCCTAATTTTTCTCTTGCAACAATTTCTTCTCCCACCACTCGTTAATGCTGAGCTTTCAAACGATACCCTGACGATGGCAAATTCTTCTCTTGCCGATGCTTAAATTGATACAAAGGCTCATGCAACGTTTCATGGATATGGTATTGTTACAAAGCGTACCAAGAGGTTTGGCATGAGCAAGGAAGGTGGCTTCTCGGCAGTACACTATCAGTGCTCACAAGTAAACATGCATGTTGTGCGCAGTGACAAATGTGAGAGTGCAAGGTCAAACCGGAGCAGAGATCGTGTAAACAAATCAAATTAGTATTTTTAAGGAGATAATGCTCAGCCACACAAGCTTAACGAGGGAACCGGCGTTTTAGTTTACCGCTCAACAATATTTTTGAAATAGTTCGTCACAATTATTATCACTGACCAATCACAGATTGTAAGTTTGAGGAGTGGTTAGTTATTGCGAGGGGGCGGATTCTTAACGTCCGTTATATTTTTTAATCTTGCGGCATGCTGCATAGTGAAAGTTTCAAGAATAGATCGGGGTTAGATCAAACAAGAACACAACTCACCTAAAAACAAGGTAGCCGCAATATTAGATAATAGCCGCAACCTTTGAGAATATCAGGCAAGCTTGTGAACGGCCTATTAGAGCATATGTCTACCCACGTAGCTCTTCTAACAACCACGGCTGTGCCGTAGCCAATTTACAAGTTCTGTAACATTTGCCTTAAGATAACTGCTTTCAAAACGCAACCTTCAATAAGTCCACATTAAGCGAATGTGTGGTCGTCCTCCAAAACCTTTTACCAGTAATATATCACAATCTGGAACTAGCAAGGGGACTGCTCACGCCACTGCATCTATGATTAACTTTAAAATTGCTACACAAAGTTCGGGTGAATAGGGTTATGCCCCATGTACGAGGAAAAATGTGGATATGATGTGCACAGGAAGGTTACATTAGCATCTGTTTTTGTCACCACATAAGCCAGGTCATCAACAAAATCAACAAAACGTGAAGCTATACTTATATTATCAAGCCCACAAATAACGAACACCAAACGCGACGTTAAAATCAATAACATTACCTTGCTGTACTTTAATCTGCTTCAAACTTCCACTAAACACGTATTAGTTAAATTGGAATTAGCAGTAAAAATTGTAAATATTATATAATAAACCTTTAGGTAAATCTTGATCGGATAAACATTTAGTCGATTTTGTAAATTAAAACCGTTCTTTTTACCTGACATGTTATTCACCAAAAAATTATCAGATGTATTTCATAAGGTGACACGGTATAATATAAAAAATGGCACGTATTGTTTACAGCGCTTGTGTAGGAATCGTTTTAGTGTAAATTACGTGAAGTTAACAAATTCAAATTAGAGTTCGTCTTGGATTGATGCTTTTATAATAGTTTAGACTTTTCAGTCTTCTGACCAGAAGTCAAGATGAAGCTGAGACGCCGTCATGCCGTAACGTGACAAAAAAAATCGGCATTGTGCACAATTTAACCTCGCGATAGCGGCGGTGATACGTCGCTCGTGCAAAACCACATAATCTACACTGGCTCAGTGAATCGTAAGCTAGTTGATGTCTCCACGACAGACACCTAACGCTTTAACTATCGAAGCGCTGTGGCTCGTGGTTTTTTTCGCAATTAATTTTGCTCTGGTGAAATTATTTTGAAGATATCGTCGCTACTTTTATGTTTATAAGGCTGACTGTACATATTTATGTGTTAATATTTATATGGTTACAAGGAAGGTATGCACCGGAAATGGATCAAGAGATATCGCAAAGGGTTAACACCACCGCGGGTTTATCTCTGCTTTTGTACCATATGTTAGACGTTACAGACGGCAAACAAACTCGAAAAACTGGCAACTCATCGTGGGTTGAATCCTTGTTTGATTGCGGTTGTGATGTTTTAAATGTGGTCATTAGTGCGGACACGATAAGGCTCGAAGTGACGTATCGATTATTTAGTATTTCTGTAAGGTGTGGAGGCATCTCTGTATAACGATGTCGATTTTAATTTGCGTTGTGCTCTTTGTTGCAGTTATTTTCTTTGTTGCTGGTAGATCGGTTAGTCTCTCCTGCTTTTTCTTTCACCAGACTTGGTGTTATTAATGGCGACATCGGTGAAGTCTATCCCAGTACAATGGGTCTATAACGGACCCGACGAATGCCTGCTGATTGTGCAATCGATCTACGAAGCCCTTTCGATCGTTAAAATGACTGCAGGAAAGGAGCCGATCATGCCGTTTCCGCAGCTGAATATCAATTACGCCTTTGTCTCGCCCAAGGTCACCTGAGCAACCGTGCAGTGCTCTTTTCAGCGGTACATTGATTCTCTCTTGTGTGAATAAGACTAAGATTACGCTGCAAAGATTAAACACGCTTACCATGACAAAAAAATTAACTACCCCCACAAGTATTTGACCTCGCCTATTTTTAACACGTATCGACTAATATTAACTTTCCGAACCTTTGAAAACATTTGACAGCTTTTATGATAGAAATGTCCAAACTTTAAACAAACAGCATGTAACGGGGTGAACCGTTACATAACAATTTATAAGAAGTTGTTAGTAGAATATAATGTAAGATCTATGTTCTCGGAATATTGTCATAAGGACAAATATTCTGTAGCACTTACGAGTAGTTTCTAATTGGTTGACATAGGCCATTATATCAACCAACGAAGACGCGCCACAACAGACGCACGCAATGAGTGGTGAGCAGATAGTTGATTTACACATTTGTATTTAGACATAGTTAGATGAGGATAAACAGGGTATTTATTGCAGACACTAACTATGATATATACAGTTCTACTTTTTACTTAAACTAACTACTCGCTTCTTCTTACCGTCTTCCTCTGCACGTACCAGTGTACGTGAAGTTACGCGGCACCGCCTTATTCTGTCATCAGAATAAGTAGCTTGTACTGTCATCAGTACAAGCTTCAGGGTGACCCGTTACACCTGGTAGCACTTCGTAGTCCGTCCAAGGACCACGTTCACATCCAACATGAATATGTTGGATGATGAAGATGACCAAAGCTTTCACGCTACGCGTGACGGCTACTCCCATTTGAGCGATATCGAATGGGATGCGGTTGAACGACTGGGTTCAACCATGGGCATCCATGCTGTTAGCGTCATGCTAGAGGTTCTCAATAGAGATGTCCAACATGCTACTATCGCCAAGTTCATTCAAAATGAACTTGACGCTGAACGCGAGAAAGTAGCCTTGCTTCACCAACAAGGTTCTCAACAAGCAGAGTTGTTGAGAGAACAGGGTGCTTAACAGTTTGAACTGTTGAGACAGCAGCAAGCTGCTGCTGGTGGGTCGATGCACTCGCGTCGACCCGAGACCTTGAAGATTGACATCTCCAAGTATAAGGGAGTCGAAGAGGACTCCCTCTTGAGATGGTTCGTCGAATTGGATGACGCCATAAGGGCGCGTCGCATCGACGACGGGGCAATGCAAGTTGCATTTGCCCAATCAAATCTGGCAGGACGTGCCAAGACTTGGGCTTTGGGGCTCAAGTTGCACGTCCATATGCGTTTGGGTCGTCAGAAGTCTTCAAGTCGCGGCTCAGACAAACGTTTGAACCGCCTAGAGCCGAGAATCAGATCCTAAACCGAACTCTCGAAGCTCAAACAGGGTAAGCGTGATGTGCACGCTTACGCACAACATATACGACATCTAACGAGTTGTAAAAGTTCCAACCCGATAGATGAACACACGTTGGTTTCGGTGTTCATGAAGGGTCTTGCGGACGGTTCCGTCAAGACTCACCTGTTCCGACTTGAACTGGATTCACTAGAACAAGCCATTTCCATTGCGGAACAGGAAGACTTCAGTCTGAGACAGGCTCGCGCCAGCTCGACATCATATCGTCAACCGAGACGATATGACAGCGGAGGTCCAGAGCCGATGGAACTCTGTTATGTAGAGAGTTAGAAGGCTCGCTCTACAGACTACAAGAAGTTGCAGAGATGCAACAGCTGTCAAAAGACAGGACACTACGCTTACGAGTATATCGCCCCTCGTCCAGTGTCTCGCAGCACTGGGCGTAGTGACCGTCCACCCGTGAGAAAGGGGCAGGGACGCGTGTCGGCTGTTGGTGCAAAGACGCAACAACGGGATGGAACGTAAAAAAGGGACAGGATCAGTAGGTGCGGAGCACCCTACTGGTCCAGCAACGTCAAGAGAATTTGTAGGCCTCTTGATGAAGGTTGCTCCCAACACACAAACGTTGTGCGTTGCTGCTCCAGTTAATGAGATCTCACTCATTACCTCGAAACTCGAAGTGACGAATAAGTTGTCCCTTCGAGCTCTAGTCGATTGTGGGGCGTCCAACAATTTTGTGCGACGCCAATCGCTAGAAGATGGTCACTTTAAGTTCAGTGAATGTGACACACCTCCTACGAGGATGACGGTACGTCTTGCGACAGGCGCATCCGTAACCGTCATGAAGCGTATAGTGAAGATTCACTATAAGCTAGAAGATACCCGATATGACGATGAATTTATCGTATTGGATTTAGATGACAAATTTGATGTCATCCTTGGAATACCGTGGCTCAGAAGGTATGAACCACGAGTAAATTGGCAACATCGAACAGTAACGATGCCTGCCGCTTGTTCATCAGATGGCCATCTGATGAACGTTTTGGAGCGTCCACAAGCGTGTGGATGTATTACAAGTGAGTGCGATGGCCTCACTTGTGGTACGGTCGTTAGTACGACTGCACAAAACCTTAGTGTACCAAACGGTTACACTTCGGAGCAAAGTTCCGGCGGCTGTGAGGAAACACAGGCTGCGCCGAAGGTCCACCACTCGAATAAGTCGAGTGGACCGGTACAAAGATGTATCCCTAGCGGGGAACATCTAGAAGAGAAACAATCGATCGCTCAGGTTAAGCGAAACGATAATCCTAGATCGACTGGAGAGTCTTTCGTAGAGGATCTCGCTGTGGTTGCGCAACCACATCTAGAGGAAATAAAGGGAATCAGTCCCGATATTACAAATACGGCGGAAATTAGTTCCCCGGAACCCGCGGGAATAAGTCCCCGGGAAGCCGAAGGAATAAGCCTTAGAGGCCTGAGGGAATAAGTCCCTAGGAAATGACAGAGACATTGAATGTCCTGGTCAATGACGGATCAAGTGTAGGCGCTTATACTCTTGATCTGATTGCGCCTACGAAGTTGACTTCGGAGATCACTCAGTTGCCAACGCTTAAGCATAAAAGGTTCTTGCGTGATCTGCGTAGTGGCAAAGTCAAGCAGATCTGCGTACTCGTCGCTGACGACGAGTGCGTAGCCGACATAAGGTCAGCAACAATGTTTACTGAGAACGAGAGAGTTCTCAGTAGTTCATCGATGGACGAGAGCGTCCTCGATGAAAAGACACGAGCTGAGCGATACGACTCCCAATCGTGGGAATCGCTCAAGAAAAATCCTCACTATGAAGATTTGGTTGAATTCAAGGATGTATTCCCTGAAACTGTTCCGTGCGAATCACCGAAGGATAAAGGTAATCGACACGAGGTCGAGCTTAAACCAGGCTCTAAGTACTGTGTCATGAAGCAGTGGCCACTGCCTCTTGAACAAGTACTTGCGATCGACAAGTTCTTTGCCGATCGTTTAGCTGCGGGCCATGTGAGGGAATCAACTTCCCCACATAGCTCTCCGACCTTCTGTGTGCGAAAAGCAACAGGAGGGTGGCGGATTGTGCATGCATTTAACAAGCTGAATGCTGCAACGGTACCGGCTCAGACGCCGATACCGAGGAAGGACGTAATCATTGATGGTATGGCAAAGAGTACCATCTTTTCGTCCATGGATTTGATGGATGGCTTCTATCAAATCCTTATGCGAGAACGGGATATACCCTATACCACAGTGAGCACGCCTAGCGGCATGCTCTGGGAATGGCTAGTAATGCCACAAGGGCTTAGTAATGCCCCTGCCACGTTCAACAGATGTGTATCACATCTGTCGAGACCAGTACGAGAATTCGCGCCGAGTTATTTCGATGACGTATTCATCCATAGTCGAGCTATGGATGGAAAGTCGGACGTCGAGGTTCACAGGTACCACGTCCGACAGGTTCTTACAATCATGCGAAAGCATCAAATGTTTGCCAATCTCAAGAAGTGTATATTTGCAGCAAGCGAAATACCACTTCTTGGGTGCACTGTTGGTAAGAACGGTGTACGTCCTGATCCCGAAAAGATCGAGGCAATCACCGACTGGCCTGTGCCGGTTGATGTCAAAGGTCTTCAAAAATTTCTTGGGCTAGCGGCGTATTTGAACAAGTATTCACGCAATTACGCCGAGATGACTGTGCACCTCTCTCGTTTGTTGGAAAAGAACGAGAGGTGGTTATGGAACGCTGAATGTCAGCGCTCCTTTGATGGTATCAAGCAGAGCTTGATACAATCCCCAGTCCTAGCAATTGCCGATCAGGACAGGCCATTTCATGTGGTCTGTGATGCTAGCGGTTTCGCAATCGGCTGTGCATTAATGCAGTACGATCTTGAAGGCGTTGAACGCGTCGTCTGCTATCAGTCGCGTCAGCTGCAACCAGCTGAGCGGAAATATCCAGTGCATGACAAGGAACTCCTTGCCATGAAGTATGCACTCGCGAAGTTCACAGTCTATCTAGTAGGAGATAGAACCTTTATTGTTTACACTGACCATGCGTCATTACGCAACGCAGTAAACAGCCCGCACCTTCACAACGAATGGCGCGGTGGTTGTCATTCTTTGCAGAATACAACTTTACGGTCGAGTACAAACCAGGACGACTTAATGTCGTCGCTGATGCACTCTCACGTCGTCCCGACTTTGAACCAGTCGTGAAACCCAACAGTGAGACAGCCACTGTTGCGGTAATGACGTCCTCAATACCATCTTCAACGTTGTATGATGATGTGAGGCGGGCGTATGCCCAAGATGGTGAGATTATGAAGTTGTTGACACATCTCTCACAGCCATCACGAGAATCGTTGAAACGATTGTCGTCTGCGTATCGATCTGCATCAGATCGATACATTACTCGCGACGGTTTACTGTATTATACAGCCTTTACTGGTGACACACCACGTGTTGTCATTCCAGATGATACTGATCTGCGTTTGCGGATCATGTTCGAGTATCACGATGCTCCTATAGGAGTACATCGTGGCCGGGAGAAAACATATCTCACGGTGAGTCGAGACTTTTACTGGCCCCGCCAGTATCAGTTTGTGCGCGAGTATGTTCGCGCATGCGAAGTCTGTCAACGAGTGAAGTCAAGTCCTTCACTGCGTGCACCTTTACAGCCTCTACCGGTTCCGGCAGCGAGCTGGGAGTCCATCTCAATGGATTTTGTCTTCGGGTTACCCAAAGACGCACGCGGGAATACGGGTATCCTCGTATAGGTTGACAGATTCAGCAAAATGGTACACTTTGTGGCTGTACCCGTGTCAATCAAAGCAAGTGGCTGTGCTTGTGTCTTTATTGACACCATCTTCCGACTTCATGGGTTGTCCCGTGAACTCGTATCAGACAGAGATCCACGCTTCACTGCTGATTTCTGGCGTTCCGTGTTCAAATCACTCGGAACGCGCTTGAAGATGTCGACATCTGATCATCCAGAGTCAGATGGTCAGACGGAACGTGCCAATCGTGTCCTCGAAGAGATACTTCGAGGATACGTACACTCCGTTAAGAGTTGGAGTGAGTTCTTGCCAATGGTAGAGTTTGCCATAAACAACTCGGTGCATGTGTCCACGACACATACACCGTTTTACGTGAATGGCTTACGCCATCCGCGTGTACCCACCTTACTAGAGTGTGACTCTGGTTTAAGGAGGGAGGGAATCGCGCGAGCAAAAACCAATTTGGTTCACGCTCATCACGCTCTGACGATGAGGTCATTGCGTTTGATGCCGATATCAACAACATCGATATCGAAGAAGATGATGCCAGTGAGAGTGCGGAAGCCCTCACTGAAGAAAAGATTGATGTTTCTGCAGTGCGCTCACAGCGCACTGAAGCTAACGAGTCATCAGATGAGTTCATACTGGCTCGTGAAACGGTAGTCCGTTTAGTGCAAGACTCCATCGCCGAAGCGGTGGATAAGCAAAAGCAAAACGCTGACAAGAATGGAAGGGAAAACACTCTTTTATTTAATAAAGGTGACTTAGTCCTACTGTACACGGTTAACCTACCAAAGCATGTAGTGACTAACTTGGGTAGTAGTAATCTTCTACCCAAGTACATCGGCCCATTTCGTGTATTGCATCGCCTAGGCAATGCATACACGATCGAGTTGCCACGTAAGATGCGAACGCATCCCACGTTTTACGCTGGTCGGCTTAAGCCGTACCATCAGTACGCTGCTTCTTCCGATGAAGAACGCCCTTGCACTCAAGCATCTCACAGAGAGCCTTGTGCTCCCGAAGGTGGCCATCGACAAGGGTCTAAGAGCAGTTATCTCAGCCCGAGACCGATCAACATTCCCACGAGCTACCCTTAGCTCGTCACGCAGAGACGTCAGAGCTCTCTCGTTCTCAAGCTGAGCAAATGCAAACTCAGATCGATGCTTCAAGACAGTGTCCGCCAGTTGGAGACGCCTGTTCCGCTCATGTTCGAGATCGCCGCGTAACCCTTGCGTTACGCGATCAAAAAAGCTCTCGGGAACACACGCTTCCCCACGATTGTGTGGAGAGCGTCTTCCCTCCTCCTCCACCTCCATTGGAGGACTCTTGCGGTGGCCAGCGCTATCTAGTTGAGCAGCTGTTGAACCACCGCGACGTGAACGGACGTCGGACGAGTTATATCGTCCGGTGGCGCGGCTATCCCCCGTCCTGGGATACTTGGGAGCCTCGCTCCCAACTGATGGCAGACGTACAGGGTCTGGTCGAGCAGTACGACGCGGCACATCCTGTGCCGCAGAATGATCGCCGGAGAAAGTCTTCCCGGCACGGTAGTAAAGGGATTTCACGTTGTCAATCCCTTCGTACATCTCAGTAGAGATACGTACGCGCCACCACGGGCTAGTAAGGAGGTAAGCCTCCTTAGGTGCTCGCGCAGAGTTGTTCACACAACATGGGCACGAGTCTCCCCAAGAAAGGCAGGGTAATCCCTTCTCCCTTGACAGACTATGCAGATAATAGCGTGCACCTGTGGGGGTTCGCTTCTCAAACTTATCACGAGCTTTGATAAGTTTGTCGTTCCAAGCGTCACGACCTACATCCTCAAGGTTATGGATGCAAGCGTTCCGCGCTTGAAGCAGTGAGGGACAATCACGTTTGTGATTCCCACTGTACCATCTATGTTTAAAGAAAGCATCGATGAAGAACTCATTCTCAGCGCGATAGTTTTTCGTACTGGGGTCAAGGTGATGGATCCTTGACGAATCGAATAATGTTACTCGATAGCGATCACTTGTCGTCGCCGACAAGTGATCCATGACGGATTTGGGAGGCATCCATGCCTTCTTCTCGGGAGCGAGACGCAAGACACTGCGGTCCCGCTCTTCTTGCGACGTGCCGACAGAAGTACCGGCACCTCGCTGCGAAGTGGTTTCAATAGAAGAACCAAAACCACTGTGAGCGCCCGAGTCTCGCGACCTCGAGCGCCTTCGCTTCGGCGATGGTTCATCTGATGAATCAGATGAACCAAAGATGCTATGACGCAAAGCATCATCCATGCCACTCTTGGCAGGCGGCTTGGTTTCGATCGCCGTCGATACGGATCCGTCTTCCGTATCAGGAGAGTATGAGACGCCAAGCTCATACTCTGTGAAGACATGAGTGTCTTCATGACGAGCGCCTGCATCACCAGGTGACACAGGCTGGGTCGCATCAGCAACCGATGAGACATCAGTTGCTGCGGCTTCTGCTTCGGCGTCCGCGCAGAGACGTGCAGACGCGCTCTCGGCGGCCTTGCTCGCACACCGCATGGACTTGTTAACCATGCGATGAATTGTTGGAAAGTGGACTCGGACCAACAAGTGCAAACCCTGTCCCAAATGATTTGGGACAAGTATTCATTTAGTCAATCAGTCACTAACGTGACTTATGGAAAAGGGGGGGTGATGTAACGGGGTGAATCGTTACATAACAATTTATAAGAAATTGTTAGTAGAATATAACTATAAGATTATATTCTCAGAATATTGTCATAAGGACAAATATTCTGTAGCACTTACAAGTAGTTCCTAATTGGTTGATATAGGCCATTATATCAACCAACGAAGACGCGCCACGACAGACGCACGCAATGAGTGGTGAGCAGATAGTTGATATGCACGTTTGTATTTAGACATAGTTAGATGAAGATAAACAGGGGATTTATTGCAGACACTAACTATGATATATACAGTTCTACTTTTTACTTAAACTAACTACTCGCTTCTTCTTACCGTCTTCCTCTGCACGTACCAGTGTACGTGTAGTTCCGAGGCACCGCCTTATTCTGTCATCAGAATAAGTAGCTTGTACTGTCATCAGTACAAGCTTCAGGGTGCCCCGTTACATTCACGATCTTATGTTAAATTTATCTTGTTCTTTAGAATAACCTGCACGCATAAGGGCACCTGTAGCTCTCACATAAATCCCCTTACGCTTTCGCGTTCTTCAGATCCTCATACAAAAATTAACTTTGCTCCTTGAGAAATCGTGTCTTTAATTTTTCTATGACTCTCTGGCTTCGTGATTTCTCAGCTACTGTTGTATCGCTGTTCATATTGCCGCTACCTTTTTCGTAGTGCAGGAGCTAGTTCTGACGCAATCGCTAATATTCTGGAGCGGAGCTACACAGCTCCGTAAGTCAGAGGAAGACTTGACCGTCAACAAGCAACTTAGTTCTAAAGAATTAATCTCAACGAGTCAACAAGCGTAAATCTTATGGTCCTTGTTTCAGGGGACCAAACGATTCAATGGATCGACAGCACTTAGTGCTTAAGAGTAACTAGCTACCAGGGAGGTGTTGCTTACTCTTAGTGATCAGCGATCAACGACCAAAGACGCCTCGCAAGGCACGTGTCTTTAAGATCAAAAGGGGAACTGAAATTTATTTACGTTTACACCTATAGATTATCTTAACCTAAACTAGTACAACTAAGATCTCTCCTATCCAGTGGCTGAAACCAGTCAGCCTTTATAAACCGATAAGATATTCTACATCTCTTTCAGTGGGATCACCCGTGTGTCTAAGCCACAGGGTTCCAGGTTCCCAACTACGTGTGACTTCACACAACTGCGATCCTTCACGCTCATACTTTATACCTCGCCCGGCTACTGGTTTAATCCTATATGTCCGCTCAGTTCCTATAGCTTTTTACGCATCATCTAGTTCTTTCTATCTCAGCAGACTACTCCGTATCCCATGTTTTGATTGGCCGTTTCACGCTTGTAGGCTATCTGTCCACTTTATTTTAGGCAAGTTGCTTGGTTTTGTCGGTTCCCCCAATAGTTTAACCAAATTAAACGTGTCCTACGGCATCACCAACGGTAATCGAATGATGGAGCGTCTCCCTCCTCCCCTCTTATCGTCTCTCCTGGCTTTTGCGGTGAGCGACTATCATGAAGAGATAACCCCTTACAAGCGCACGCTCCCACTCGAAAGACTCCTGCCGCTCGCACTGGTCTGCAAGTGCTGGCGCCACCTCATCCTTGACGTGATCGCTCGGTCTCAGGCGTCCACTTTCACTCTTCGCTTTTCATCTGGCACTCGTGCCGAAATTTGTGAAATGCGTCGGCACATTTCCCAACGAGGACCCCTGATTTTAGACTTGACTATCCAGATGGGGGCTATGCCATCTCGTGGGGAGGAGGACTACTATTTCAGTACATTGGTCCCGTCATCAACTTGGCCTGTAAAGGAGTTTCAGATGGATTGGGACGTTGTGTTTGCTCGTCTGCCAGCTCTCCAGAGACTCCATTTATCAGGAAATAGGTTAACAAGTAAACAAGTGGAACGAATTCTAAAAAGTGCAGCAACGTACTGCAAACATGTCGAGGCAGTCGTGCTCGCTGAAGCAAATGTCATGCTGCAAGGACGGCTGGGATTTGAATTTATTTCTGATGCGCTATGCGCTGCTATGAAGACGTGGTTCTCTAGTGGAGCTTAAAAAGGATTGAAGCAATTGACGGTCCCAATGCTAAACGACAAGAATTGTTTCCAGTCGTCGAAGCAACTGGTTGACAGCTTGGTGAAGTTTTGTCCACTAGTGGAGTACGTGGATGGATATAAGGCCACGCTTAATGATATGAACGGATTGACGTGTGGGGATACGTGGCTTGTAACGGTCGAGCAGTGGGACAAGTTTAATTCGACGTGCACAGAACTGCGGGAATTCCATTGGGTAGTCGTGCCATTTGCCGATCCGTACTTTAGGGTTTTTGGGAAGCACAGTAAGCCACGTTTGACGAAACTCACATTGGCTGTCAATACGCTCTGGGATTGGCAAGCCTATTTCCACTTTGTGGAGAAAGCTACGGAACCCAGCGTGCTTTCTTCCCGAAACGAGGAAGACCCGGTGGATGAAGCTGCTGGATTTGTTGCATCTTCCTCTTCTTATGTATATCAACAAAACTTTTCGCAGCGACCGGGGTATGGAGCCAAAGCATCCGATGTCAGCAGTGCTCTCAAGGGCTGCCCAGCATTGACTGTTTTAGAAATTGCACTGTGTCACTCGGGTGATATAGACGAAACGGTGTACAGTGACCCATATGATGATGGTGACGATGCTGCTGACATGGGGCGTGTTCTCCTCAATATCGACATTTACAACGATGATTTTTGTGCGGCAGTGGCAGAGTATTGTCCACGGCTGACGAGCTTCTCGATCACGGAAATTGATGACGGGCTGCGTAGCCACCTCACCCCAATTCGGACGTTTACAGACCAAGGTCTCGTGAGTCTTGCGAAATTGAAATACTTGACTACAATGCTGCTGCGTCCGATCAACTGCACGGGAAATGGTGTTTTTGAGTTTCTTAATAGTCTGTCGAACGAGTTTGTGGGGCAGCGAACGTTTCAGGTCTACATTGGTGGACATTCCAGCGAATCCAAGCTAGCATTCTACACCGCGCTGATGGAATTGTTGATGCAGTTGAAAGTAAGAAGCCCAGCAGAGCTTGCGTGGGATAATCGCAAGTTTGTCCTTCGCTTGATAAATTCCAACTTTGAATCGGTTGAGCCTAGTTGGGGCGAACAGTATCTTCGTGACCTCGAGCGTGCGGTGACGAGCGTAAAAACGATACATCCGACCTTGCGCTTACGCATTGCGACTTCTGGACGTCGTGGCTTTATTTTCCAAAGAATAATGGAACTCGGGCTGTACACGGCAAATGCCGAACCTAGCCCATGGTACGGTTGGGAAGACGAAGAACGAAACGGCAACGCTTCATTTGTAAATCGCTACGAAGAGACAACAGGTTTGGGTAGAGGTTTAGACAGACTACCTCTTGAACTGCGACACCCTGAGCTTCTGGACCCAGACTCTCTCCCTATCGATTACGAACTTCCGGCCGACTATTTTGACGACTATGGTGGCTACGGCGACTATGGCGATTATGGTGACTACGAGGATTATGGTGCCTATGGAGACGATTACTTCGGTGAGGAATACGACGGGTATTACGATGGAAACGCAGACGAGCTATGGGAATAGCGCCCATCACGAGATGATCAACGTTGACCGGTTTATAGGTTCCAAGCTTCGTGCCTGCTGAGTGGCTAGTGCTCGTCTTGTTCGTCTTTTTCCGTGAACGTTGTGCAACCGAGTAAGGTGCCTTATGGTACAGCTGCGCTACATCACGATGGTTTTATCGTTGAGGTACCTTATGCTGGACAATCATTGCATGCTCACTAGCTTCGGCATGGTAGAGAACTATCTTGAAAACAAAAAGTGTATTCATGATAGCCGTCCAGCGATAGTCTGGTAAGCGCGAGCATGTGAGCGTAGAACTCGCTGTGCCCAGTAACGAAAACATGCTGCGATTTCTACGGACTTTGTTGAGAATGTTCAGTACTCTCAACGTGTGCGATGTTGCGTTGCATTGAAGAATGAGCAGGCACGACGATAGAAGAGCCTTTGAAGAACATGTACCATTGCTTGATACGACTTTGACACCAAACCAGCTGTTGGTGAATTCATCCTCGAGCCAATCGTACTTGTATCACAGAAGCAACGGCTCCTGTGGAGGCCACAGTCATTTGGGAAGACGAGGTTGATTTGTTGCCGGACAGCTGATGTAAGACCGAATTGCTGTTCGAAGACTACATAACATCCGATTGCTCAACCGACGTCGACATCTACTTGCCATAAAGATGGAACCCCTACGATCGGCAAGTGCAGACGAACGTACAGGCGTGCCTCTTGATAAGAACGAGCTCCCTGAAATAGTGTCAGGTGTCAGGAGCCCATGGTACCGGGAGGATGCTACCAAATTAACGTGTCAGAGTATGGATGCGGCCATGGATTCCTTCTCAAAAACACAACGATCCTTCAGAATTTTTAAAGTCGACCACTACGGTCCCGGCATAGTCGAGATCGCCCAATCTAACGAACCTTTGGGGCCCAGCGTGCAAGCAGCTTATGAAGTGTGATACGAAGACCCAAGCTTGGGCCAATTCAGTTGCAGGATTCGACATGAAACGATTAACATTAACAGCAGGACTGGGGTGTGGATCACGAAGCTTCGTGTGTCAATTGTTGTGTCAACAAAAAGCAATCAAAGCCGTCTTGAATTGGCATGATGTGTAGTCGCACATGAACGAAGTAATCAGTGTGAAGAGGTGGTGCTGATGACGTTGCTAATATACGCAATTCCTTGTTCGGAACGGTGTGATCTGCATCAGAAAAGTCGGGACAAGCAGCTTAAGAACTGACACGTGAGAATTGGGAGTCCATGCGATGCATTTCGAACCTCTCTCGAAGATCAGGTGGTATTTGCAAGTTGCACTGAAGTGAACGAGAACGAGCTCGCTTATTTGGAAACGAAGCACGAAGAAGATGAAGACCAAGTTGCGGATTTTCGAGAGGCACTCGCGTCCATATTAAACCGCTCACACGGTAAAGGGTAAACTTTGTCGACCTAGCAAAAAGTCACGAATAGTGGATCAGAGAGATTGCGTCCACCATATACGATTCAAGGAGACACGGCTTCTACCAGTGAGCCCACTAGTAAAAATGATGGAAATGTGAACTTAGCGGACCTGAGGTTGTGAATCGACGTGTCATCGTCAACGCTTGTAGATCCGTGAGTACTCCCGCTTCATGCAAGAAGGACTGAATGTAAGCTGTTGCTGGGACAAATGTCGTGATTGCAGGTCGATTAAATCTCGAAATCCGCAGTTCCGGTGCTGCGATACGAATTTAAGACCCAGCACGAGCGATGCCACAATGCCAAGTGCGCCTCAATTAGTCGAAGAGGACTGAAATGTATGCGATAGGACCTGGTCATTGCGATTGAATGATCAAGATCGTCCGTCTCAAATCAAACAATTGAGGTGAGATTGGTGATCAAAACGGGTCTCGATTTTTTGCCAGCTGTGGGGCGTGGTCCAGAGGTACCATTGTGGTCATTCTAGCAAGCTCCAAGAATCGGCACTTCGTTATTGTAGTGACTGTTATGGCATATGCGGAAGCATTTACGAAGCAAGGCACCTTCGATAGACCACAGCACAAGCTACTATGATATATGGACACCATGTGATAGTGAGGAGGAACTTCAGCGCGGAAGATCTTCGGCATTGAATGCATCTGTTCACGATGCCCGCAAGATAAGCTCGGCGAGACTGGACGTGCATCATGTTGCTCTTCTCGATGAAGACATTGCGATTCTTAACAACTGTCCTGGTGCTGACGATACTAAGGAACGCAAATGGCAAGGAAGCGCCTCGTCCACGCAGTTGTTGATTACGGGCGCTGATGGTGCCAGTCAGACCGTGTCACCTAACAATTAGCTCACAGAAAATATGTGGACAGGAGCGACCGCGGCTTCAGCGATTGTCGTTGTTGTTTACGCTGAATGGAACTTGAGTCCAGCTGAATGACGACGTTTGATCGACGCCTCAGCAGAACATGCACCTGGACACAAAATCAGAACGAAAATAGGCCGACGTCAGCGAGCAGTTCTGCCCCAGGTATGTCGCAGTCCACAACGAATCGGCAAGCTCAGCAAATTGTCGCAGTCTCATTTATTCGGGTGGCACATAGACGCAAAAAAGAATAACACCTCGCTCCACTAGACTTTCCACGCCCACCACTAGACGCTTCAAACGCTGTGTAGCTTGAGTTCAACTCCGTCATCGCCGACGGCGGAATTCATCTCGTCCTGACCGGATGGAGCAGAGGGTGACAAAGTACCCAGCGGAGAACTGTGCAGTGCATTGGACTTCGGCGTGAACTCAAATGTGGTCTCCTTCGACCCATTCTCTTGCGTATTCTCCTCCGTCGGCATCTTTCCCTTCAAGTACATGTAGTCGTTGTATGCATTACGATACTTGCGATGTACAATGAGGATCACCATCATCAGGAGCAAAACAACAAATCCCACGATAACGACTGCTGCGTAAACCGAGTAGAGGGCCGTCGTGTCAAGCACCACTGCGCTTTCCGTGCACGCGGAGATCGAATCGGTGCTCTCCAATTTGGAACCGCCGTAACACGCTAGCTTGCGAGCATACGAGACCAACTGTTCACCACCACTACACGCCGAGCGGAGTTCGTGGAAGTAGTCACCGTCGCAAATGGGGCAAGCGTACGCAGTTCTCCAGACAATGTTCCAGTTGCACTGATCATCGTCTTTTAATGCTGACGTCGGTTCGTTTGTCGTGCCTACCATGTCAGACAGACGAAGCAAATGTGTCAGCAGTATCATCTTGCGTTCAAACGTCGAACTGCTGAGCTTACCGCTGCTAAGATCACACACAAAATTGAACGTTGTAGACATCGTCTTGCCATTACCACACGGTGACCCACCCGTTAACAAAACCTTCACACCAGAACCTGATTCCAATGGCAAAATGTCCATGTGGCTTCCGCCATTTACAAGTTTCCATTGCTGCAACAGTCAAACGCACGAATAAGGTACCCGAACAAAGAGCAACGACCTCCGATACACACGTACCGCTGGAGCTGAGCACATGACGTTACCGTACACCCCGCTATTTTGCTGATAGAAGTTACCAGCTTCACGTGGATTTGTCATACTTGCAAGAACCACGTAGGCCACTTCGCTGCTTGTATCCACTCGTTGGTCCACAACCTGACCCGGTACCTGCTGCAACCAGCTAATTCCGAGGGGACGAAAAATACCAGCAAACCAGTAATTTTGGCTGTCCGCTTGAAAAACCAACGTTGACTCCACAGGTTTCGTCGACTGCAAACTAGTCGCATTACCGTAAACTGTGTCGTCCAATATCCAGCTCCTATTGCCCCATGCAAGCCCTTCCAATAGTGACAAATTGTACGTCACCTGTAAGCCATCAAGCGCTGACGCCACACCGTCGGATGATGATGAGGAGGAGGAGGACGTTATCGTCTCCGAAGACGCACTAGCGTTCAGCGTCAGCACCTGAGGAGCAGCGCAAGCCGCTGCACCGGGTCTACTGTGCGTATTCGTACCACATGGAGTACACTTTGCTGAACCCTCTCCAGAGTACCAGTTTGCTGGGCATTTAACGCATGCGACAATCCCTGACGACTTGGCAGTTTTACTGAACGTGCCAGCAGGACAAATCCGACAGCCCTGAATTTCTTGATCGTCGTCCGGAAGTGTTTGTTCGTATCCTGAGGGGCATCTATCGCAGCTCACACCGGTGCCTTCTTGAGTTCCCGTGAATCCTAAATACAATAACTTTGCTTCTATTGCGCGCTTCGCCTTCGCACTGGTGGCCCGCACCACAAAAGTAAACTATTTTTGAATCAAACCTGTGACGTTGACGGGGACGATTTCGTTGAAGGTGCCATTTTCGCTACCATGCAGCAAGTGAATGAAGCTTTCGACTTCTTCCGTTCTGCTACCACCGCCGCTGTTATCATCGCTATAGGGTGAGCTTAGATTATTCAAATCCTTTTTAGATTTTTTCAAACCGTCACCGACGTCGCGAATTTCGAGCTCAACCCACGCACGGGATCCATCGTTTGCAAACGTGGGAACACCGCTCAACTGGTAAGTTAAATTCAGCGAGCCGGAATGGATAAAGGTTACCTTAAACGACAGTGCCGAACGGCTTGGCTGGCTCAAAAATCCGGCACCTTCTTCATCTTCCGTGTGCTGAGCAAATCGTACGCCGCTCTTTGAGAGCTCCCACCCTGCATACTGAGCTTGCTCAGCATCAAAAATGCCAGGCCAGGAATTCCACGCGTCCGGTGTTCCCACGCCATACTCCAGTGCGTTGACAACAACCGTACCAAGAGGACAATTCTCGCATTTGCCGGGGGATATCATTGCGTGTCCAGCAGCGCAAGCAATACACTGGTCTCCTCCTGCAGGTTTGTAGCCCCGTGCGCAGCTAGCACATTGGACGTCCTCTGACGGAAGCGGGAGCTCAATACTTTCCTGTAATGTCAAATTGCACGTCTGCGGCTCCATCCACGCGTACGTGACGTTCCGTACACCATCCTTGCACGTAGTATATGTCTCATTCACATCATCGGTTGAACACGGACGCTGCTCGACACAAGACGAAACGCCGATAGATCCCTTCGGTGCGTACGTATTCGGTGGGCATGGGTAACACGTAAAATCCAACTCACTGTTGGACTTGGCATCTGCATACTCATTGGGACCACAGAAAGCACACAGGGAACCACCACTGTTGGTCATATCTCCTCCGCATGTATGACAGTGCAAATCAGACCAGGCCGTGCCCACCAGTTCAATCACCTTGAGGTAAGCCTTGTCTTCTCCAGCATCTCCCGAATAGTCCTTCATATAGTTCCACACTAAAGTGTGTGCTCCAGCTGGCACCTGCATTACGGCTTCTTTCCACCCATTTGAATGTGACACCAGCTCAGAACCAGGATCGTCGTCAATTTGAAACAACAAGCCATCGTACGGCGCTTCAGCATCCACACGATACTTGTACGTGACGGACCCGTTCCGCACAAAAAGCGCGCTGACTCGCAGCGTCGAGAATAGTCTCGTGCCTTGGAAACTCTCCATAACTCTAGAGTTGACCCCTGACGAGATGTAGGAACCATCGGCTGATGGTTCCCATGGATTGCAATTATGCTCCCAGCGACCCGTAAACATGTTTCGAGTCACGCAATCAGACTGCAGCTCTGCAGACAGCGGTAAACTCCACGCATTCGTCCGCTGGGAGAAAAGTGCCCCTCCACCGAGTGAGTACTTTCCCTGAGGACATCGTTCACATCCAGACACAGGCACGGGCCCAGAAAAGCTACAAACCAAATCAAGTCACAATGATATACAGTATTCGAAATGTCTGGGCGAAAAATCATTATAGTAAGCACATGAAAACGTACTTAGCACCAAGGAAGTACCCCTGACCACAATGGACATCGCAGCGCAGTCCATGAACAGGCGCTGTAAATCAACACCAAAAATCATCGGACATCAAAACGCACTTAGTCGAATGAACCCACTTGAGAACGTAAGGTTTCGTCTAGCTCCTTACGTTTAGCGAGCACTTGACCGGTCGAGTTGGCAAAGCACGTGCCGTCGCTCGTTGAATAGTAAAAGAGCGTGCGCTCGTTATCGACGCAGTTACTGAAGCCGTACTGGAGATCGAGACTAGTTGCTAGCGTCCAATAAGCCGCCCACGCTCCTGCCGCGTGCCACGTCGCCGTTCGCATCGCTCGCTCTCGAATGATGTGTTTGACAGGCGTACATGTACTTAAGGAGTGGACACAACTTACACACAAAACTATGCTAAGTACGCAGATTGTGCTGATCACCCCGGCGACCACTCGAAAAAAAAAGACCAGCAAATTTAGTCAGTACAAGTTGCTGGACCTGCTATTAGATTGCGTCGAATGAAGTTGCGACGAGGAACGTGTTTTCCATACACATGCTGTTTTCGTTGCTTAGAAATGGCGTAGCAAATCGATTTCCTGCTCACTGAATGCGGTGCTGATGCAACAGCCACTTGAGTCTTCCCAGAATGACTTACCGGCCACGTCCACTATCTCGATTTTCACACTGTCATTTATTTCATCAGTGGAAATTGACGCACCATAATTACTAATGCTCACATGTAGCAGCTTGGAAGACACATTTATATTCGTTGCTTGGTCCAGCGCTCACATCGTTCCATTACCGCAGAATTTTTTCGCAGTTTGCATACTATCGGAAGCCGCAGGAAGCTTCGCCGGGGGAGATGCCATCGTTTTTGGGGCTCGAGACTCCAGAACACCGAAGCGTTGCGACAATTGGTCAGTCGAAAGCCGGCCGAGTTTATGGCCAAGGCAAAACGTGTTCTATAAATCGACAAATGCGTGTACTGTTGATAGTCGCGAACGCGCACTAAGAGACTGCGTTAGCTAAGATTCATACAGCTCAATCAAGATGACTTTCCGACGTGCTGCAAGTGTGATTTATCGTGAAAGACCTGTATTCTGTTCAGATGAAGAGCAACGCCTGGCCACATTTATCAACTTGCTGTCCCTCCTGTGTACATATGTGGGCTCCTTCACCTATGCGACGAAGCAAACTTTTTTCATTGAAGGGAAACTTACTACATTAGTCGCAGCAGTATTTTCGCTTCCATCCATCCCACAACTAGCAGTATAGGGCACCCGAAGCTTCCATCTATTGCCACGACCGCTCCAATTTCATAGCGGTTTTTTTACGTGTTTCGGCAGCGAATAAAGCATACCGTACATTTTGACCAAGCAATTGTCTCCTTGCTGTGTTCTTCCATGTCATAGCCTCATCGGCCAGCAAGTCGCAAGCTGTCCAGTTCATGTGTTATTTGTAACGACTACAATATCGGTTCGAGTGTCCACCGAAAAGCGATCTATGATGATCGATCGTAGTACCAGACTATCAATGGTGGGTCGTGCGATTAACCCTTGGATCGCCAAGTCGCTGACTTTTTAATCTGATGGATGTCAATCCACAGAGACGCATACTGTACAGCCCGAATGCACAGTTAGTTTATCGAATGGTACTCAATGTTATCAACACATATACGGCTATTCTAAACGAAGACATGACGTGAGTCATAATTGCAAGATATCGTCCGGTGAAATAGGGGCATACTTCTGTGTGCGTACATTGACACGATTAGAATCGTCAAATTGCCTTTGTCGATTAGTCGCCGCATACACTGTTTTATTCTCGGCTCACTGACTCGTTTTTGAGGCTCATAAATGCACGGACTTAAATGACGAAAGTCAGTTTTAGTCGAAGGTTACGTGGGTAAGTTTTTGACCCCCTTTGCTCAACCTGGCCTAGATTGACCTACTCTGCACAAAAAGAGTGCGATCAAATGGTGTCTGCATTTCCTGCACTTTGACAGGCAGGGCCGCACCGTTGTCGTACAATTTTCGAGTAAATTTTATTTTGCTTTAAGAAGCGGGTCAACTTATCCAGTTATCTCTGCAATGAGCAGTAGCCGAGCTGTTGATTCGTATAAACCAGGTCGAGTTTGTCAAGTAATCCAGTGTGTCGGTAGTTTTCCATCTTGGCTAGTGCTTTTTGATATGGCGCCAGTGCACGCGCTTGCTGCAAACAAAAACAAGCTGATGCTGCTAAACGTCTTGATTTGATTCGTAAATACCGTGCCAAACCCCGACGGAGACCGAACAGTTCTCGAGCAAAATGTGACCAAAGGGGATTAATGCGCAAGTGTTACACTCTATTGTGCCAACTGAGTGTGTGTACAAATCAAGCTCTGCACTGTGAAAGAGAGTAAATGTCTTCTTGCATTCATCAATGCTGACGTGTAATGTTACCTTTAAATCGTAGCTAACGCTTAAAATGTGACACACTTTTTCACAGTAACGATGTCGTGAACCTAATATCACAATAAAAGACGTTTAGTACGGGCCCCAATACGTTCAAGTGAGTTGCTTGGATACGGGTTCCAGTCTTGCACAGAAGTGCTCTTACGCAATTTTGGGAAATCATGGAGTGAGTTGGAGCCTAAGTCCTGTATGTATTGAGGAGCGGAGCTACACAGCTTCTTGACTCAGAGGAAGACTAAGTGCTCAATTAGCAATATTATTTTTTAAAAAACCAGAACAAATGAGCAAACTATAGTAAAGCTTAAGGCCATTGTTCAAGGGGACCGAACGATTAAGTAAATCTACAGCACTTAGCAATTAAGAGGAGATACTTCAGGGAGGTTTTGCTAACTTTAAACGATCGACGATCAGTGTAACGGGGTGGCCCGTTACAGAATATTGACAGCAAACGGTGTCAATAGAGATATTGTCTAGCGTGACAATTCCCTCCCAATATTATCCGAGATGGATAATATTGAAGGAATGTTATTCACTTGTAGGATAATGTTCATGCGCTGCTCCAAGATTGGTTGATAAAAGACACATCAACCATAGTTTGCAACCAATCGCAGCTAGACGCGCGCAATGAGTGCTGAGCAGGTTGTCGTCATACGATAATGTAGATTAATATAGTTCGATGAAGATTGAAGTTATATGGATAGCTTGACTACATTAAATACAGTTCTCTTTTTACCCTTTACTCAAACTATCTGTTTGAGTAGATTAGCTTCCTCTGCACGTACTAGTGTACGTAAAGTTTCGCGGTACCTCACACAAAGGGTGCCCCGTTACTCCTGGTAGCACTTCGTAGTCCGTCCAACGACTACTTAGTGTCCGTTCAACAGGAACATGTTGGGCGTAGAAGACGACAGCTTTCACGTCTCACGTGAAGGCTACTCCCATCTGAGTGACTCATACTGGAAGATAGTCGGCCGCATGAGTGTGCTCATAGGAGAACCCGCCATTAGTGGCATGTTGGAGTTCCTAAGCAGAGGCCAGCGACATGCTGCGATCGACACGTTCCTACAAGAGGAACTTGCCGTCGAAAGACAGAAGATAGTCTTGCTACAACAGCAAGTTTCTCATCAGTCGATGGGCGGACCGACGCACAATGCGTCGACCCGAAACCTTGAAGATTGATATCTCAAGGTACAAGGGACCCGATGAAGATTCTTTTTTAGATGGTTCGTCGAGTTAGACGACGCCACCAGGGCCCGTCATACGAGGGTGACGAGATAAAATTCACCTTCTCCCTGTCAAACTTGACAGGACGAGAAAAACTTGGGCCTTAGGGCTCAAACTTCACGACCCAAACGTGTTTGAGTCGTTAGAGATCTTGAAGTCTGTGCTCAAAGAAACGTTTGAGCCGCCAAGAGCCGATTTCAGAGCACCCTCTGCACTCCTGAGGCTCAAACAAGGTGAGCGTGATTTACACACTTATGCACAACACCTACGCTACCTTGCGAGTAGCGTCACGGAAAATCCAGTTGTTGAGCACACGCTCATCAACGTGTTCATTTACGGACTTGTAGATGGACCGGTGAAGGCCTACATGTTCCAAGAGGACTTCCATACGCTGGAAAAGGCGATAGCGTATAAGGAACAAGAAGACTTACTCCTTAGAAAATCTCAGGCTAACGCGTCAAACTATCGTCCAACGAGACGAAAGGAAATTGTAGCATCCAACAAACGGACCTCTGTTACATCAAAATTGATTGGCAAGATGCCATCGCTTTTAGAAGATCGGGCACTACGCTCATGAGTGTAGCGTCTCGAGCTCTGCAACACGTCCAGAGACAGGACGTGATGAACACCGTTGGCCAAGGAAAGGTCCAAGGCGTGGGTCCAACCGTGTCGCTAAGCCGCGACAGAAAGTCGATCCACCGAAAAATTGGACAGGGTCAGTAGGGGCGGAGCACCCTGCTAATTCAGCAACGCCAAGAGAATTTGCAGGACTCTTGACGAAGATTGCCCCAACACACAGTCGTTGTGTGTTACTGCCCTTAGTGATGGGGTGTCCCTCATCACTTTGAAGATCGAAGTGACAACTGGAATGTCACTTTGCGCCCTAGTTGACTGTGGGGCGTCGAACAGTTTTATTCGACGTCAGTCGCTAAGGGATAGTAGGCTCAACTATGTTGAGCAAGAGTTCCCTCCAACGAGAATGACGGTGTGCCTTGCTACAGGCGCATCCGTAACAGTGAACAAACGTGTAGTGAGAATCCTCTACACGCTAGAAGAAAGGCAGTACGATGATGACTTTATCGTATTAGATTTGTATGACGAATTTGATGTCATCCTCGGTCTGCCATGGCTTAGAAAATACCAGCCAAGGGTTAGCTGGCAGCATCGATCCGTGAAGATGCCTGCCGTTTATTCATCAGATGGCCATCTGATGAACTTCTTGAAGCGTCCACAAGCGTGTGGATGTACTACGATTGAGTGCGATGGCCTCACTTGTGGTACGGTCGTTAGTACGATTGCACAAGATCACAGTGGAGAAGGCCACTACACTATAAAACCAGCTTCCGGAACCTGTGTAGAGACACAGGCTGCGTCGAAGGTTCACCACTCGAAGAGTTTGAGTGGACTGGAACACGGATGCACACCAAGAATGGTGCATTTAAGATGGGAAATAAGTGTTGTTCAGGATGAACAACACGTAAAGGGAGATCGACTATCAGAGAGTCGATCGTAGAGCAAGCCCGATCGACTGAAAGAGAGTCGATCGAAGAGGACGTGACTGCGGTAGCACACACACAGTCAGTACACGTATTGGAAGAGAGTTCTAGTGTTCCTGAAATTAATAGCTCACGAGAGAGTTATGATGAGGGTGTGGATCCCCAATCATCTGCAGATACGATTTCCGGGAAATCACTAAGACACTAATGTCTTGGTGAATAACGGATCAAGTGTAGGCGCTTATGCACTCTATCTGGTTACACACCCGAAGTTGAATTTGGAGTTTATCAAGTTGCCAACGCTAGAATCTAAAAGGTTTTGCAATATCTGCGTGGTGAAAAGATCAAGCAGATCTGCGTACTCGTCTCAGAGGACGAGTACGTCGCCGATTTTCGGTCGGCACAAGTGCTTTCTGAGAACGAACGGGTTCTCAGTAGCTCATCGGTATGCGAGAGTGTCCTTGGTGAAAAGACTTGGATTAAGCGATGCACGTCTTAATCTTGGGAATCTTTGCAGACAAATCCTTTGTATAAGGATTTGGTAGAATTCAGGGATGTTTCCTCGAATCCGTGCCATGCGAGCTGCCCAAGGACAAAGACACTTGGCATGAGATCGAACTAAAACCTGGTTACAAACTGTGTTATGAAGCAGTGGCCACTGCCTCGTGAACAGGTCACAGCGATCGACAAATTCTTTGCCGATCGTTTAGCGGATGGTCATGTGAGGGAGTCAACATCCCCACACAGCTCTCTGTCCTCCTGTGTGGGGAAGGCCACAGAAGGGTGGCGGATAGTGTACGCGTTCAACAAGTTGAACGCTGCAACGGTACCGGCTCAAACGCCGATACCGAGAAAAGACATCATCAGAGATGGTTTGGCAAAAAGTACCATCTTGTCGTCCATGGATTTGATAAATGGATTCTATCAGATCCTCATGCGTGAAAGGGACATCCCTTACACAGCAGTGAGCACCCTTAGTGGTATACTCTAGGAGTTTCTAGTGATGCCACAGGGGCTAAGTAACGCCCCCGCATCGTTCAACAGATGTGTTACGACTCTGTTGCGATCAGTGCGCGATTACGCACCGAGTTACTTCGACGATGCCTGCGTCCATAGCCGGGCTATGGATGGAAAGACAGAAGTGGAGGTTCATAGAATCCGACGTTTGTAAGGTTCTTACACTGATGCGAGAACATAAGCTGTTCGCGAACCTCAAGAAGTACGTATTCGCAGCGAACGAAATACCACTTCTTGGCTGCATTTGGATAAATACGGTGAACGCCCTGATCCAGAAAAGATCAAGGCGATTAGCTACTGGCTTGTGCCAGTCGACGTCAAGGGACTTCGTAAGTTCCTTGGCTTGGCGGCGTACTTGCGCAAGTACTCGCGCAACTACGTCGAGACGACCGTACATCTCTCTCGTTTTTCAAAAAAAAGGAGAGGTGGTCATGGAGCGCTGAGTGTCAGCAGTCCCTTGAAGTATCAAGAAAAGATGGATACAATCTCCTGTGTTGGCGATTGCAGGAGGACAGACCATTCCATGTGGTCTGTGACGCCAGCATTTTTGCAATCGGCTGCGCGTTGATGCCGTGCGACTCAGACAGCGTTGAGCGCGATTTCTGTTATCAATCGCGTCAGCTGCAACAAGCTGAGCGGAACTATCCAGTGCACGACAAGGTACCCTTGCCATGATTTATGCACTGGCAAAGTTTCGCTTCTATTTCTTAGATGATAGGCCCTTCATCGTACAAACCGACCATGCGTCATTACGCAAGACCGTTAACAGTTCACAACTTTCGTAACGAATGGCGGAGGTGGCTGTCTTTCTTCGCGGAGTGCAACTTTTCCGTCGAGTACAAACCAGAACGACTTAATGTCATCGCGGATGCTCTTTTGCGTCGGCCCGATCTCGAGCCGACTGCTCCACCCCATAGTAGGGGTGATCCCACTGTTGCGACACTAACAGTGAGTGTTCTGTCTTCGAATCTGCTCGACGACGTGCGAAAAGCATACGCAGAAGATGAGGCTCTTCTGCGGTTGACGGACTAAGTATCCAATCCGTATAACCAAGCTTTGAAAAGCTTGTCGTCTCAGTACCGCTCTTAACATAACGTAATTCTGTTCGTGATGGACTGCTGTGCTATACAGCAGTCACCGGCGATACACCTCGTGTCGTCGTTCCGGCCCATGATGATTTGCGATTGTGCATCATGCATAAGTGTCACGATTCCCCAACAGGTGGGCATCGCGGTAGAGAAGAGACTTACCTCATGGTAAGTCGTGACTTCTACTGGCCCCCCAGCATGAGTTTATGCGCAGATACCTTCGCGCTTGCGAAGTTTGTCGACGGGTGAAGCCTAGTCCTTCATCCCGCGCACCCTTGCAGCCTCTTCCGATTCCGGCAGAGTGTTGGCAGTCCGTATCGATGGACTTCGTCTTTGGGTTTCCCTAAAGACGCTCTTAAGAATACTGGCTTTCTTGTGTTTGTTGATCGGTTCAGCAAGACGGTGCATCTTGTTGCTGTACCGGAGTCAATCAAAGCCCAGGGCTGTGCGCGTGTCTTCATCGATACTATCTTCCTACTTCACAGGTTACCCCACGAGCTCGTGTCTGACAGGGACCCCCGCTTCACAGCGGAGTTCTGGCAATCCGTGTTCCGTTTACATGGAACACGTTTGCAGATGTCGACTTCTGACCATCCAGAAACAGTTAATCAGACGGAACACGTCAATCGCGTCCTCGAAGAGATACTTCGAGGGTGTGTCCACTCGTTTACGAGTTGGAGTGAGTTCTTGCCGATGGCGGAATTTGCCATCAACAACTCGGTGCATGCGTCGACAACGCATATCCCTTCTTGTGAATGGCCTACACCATCCACGTTTACCCGCCTTCTTCGAGTGTTACTCTAGTTTAAGGGTTAGGTGGACTCGCTTGAACAAAAACCGATCTAGTTCTTGTTCATCACCCATAGACAACGGTGTCGACGTGATGGATGCCGATGTCGATGACATCGATATCAATGATGATGATGACGACGATGCTGGTATTTGCAGCATCGCTAGTGACTTCCACAGTGAGGACGATGATGCCCTCACTGGTGAAGACATAGTTCTTTCAGCAGTGCACACAAAGGCGAAGCGCACTGCTGTTGACAAGGATTGATCAGCAGAGGAATTTCTGCTGACTCACGAAGCGGTTGTCCGCTTCGTTCAAGAATCTATCGCAGATGCACTAGACATACAGAAGAGAAACGGAGACAAATATGGAAGAGCGAATGTTCTTTCATTTGATGTAGGAGACCTAGTTTTACTGTCTACAGGAAATCTACCAAAACACGCAATGACAAACGTGGGCAGTAGTAAATTCCTGCCCAAGTATATCAGTCCAATTTTTTTGTTGCGCCGCATGGGCAACGAATACACGATTTAGCTGACTCGTAGGATGCGTACGCATCCTACGTTTTACGTTGGACGTCTCCACCCGTAATATCAGCATAGGTTCGTTTCGAGATGCGAAGAACACCTCCACGGTCGAGAGCCGAGACCAGATTGAGTGGTCCCGTTTCAACGAGCCAGTCTGGTCGACTGGAGAAGCAACCTGCTCCCGCAGTTGATTGATGTCTCGACGAGCTGCAGTCAGCTCGTCGCGAAGAGAACGAGTCTAGCGTTCGTTTTCAAGTTGAGCGAGGCAAACGCGGCACGATCGTGCGCTAAGGAATAGTAATTATCCTTTACAAGGTCATGGACCTCGTAACGCCGAGTTCGTTCATGAGCCAGGTCATCGTGCAACTGATCCGTTGCACGGTTAAGATCATGAACATCATGCTGATCCTACCTTCGAGCCGGCATCTGTTCCCGCCACTACCACATCCTTTGGTAGATTTTATCGGTGGTCAGCGCGTACTGGTGGAGCGTATTTTGAACCACCGCGACGTGAAGGCCCCCGGAAGAGTTACCTCGTCCGCTGGCTTGGCTGTCCACCGGCCTGGACAGCTAAAAGCATCGTGCCCAGCTAATTGTTGATGTCCTGGGTCTCGTCGAGCAATATGACGAGACCCACCCGCTGCGTTCGAACAAGGGCCATCGGAAAAGACCTCCCCGAACGCGAGATCAGGGATTGCAAAGTGTTAATCCCTTTAGTTATCTCAGAAGAGATGCGCGCTCTCTAGAAGGGAAACTTAGGAAGGTAGGCCTCCCTTGAGGCACGATTCGCACTGTCCAGGCAACCTGTACATCGGTCGCCCCAAGAGAGACAGGGATATCCTTGGCAAACCCGCGAGAGACAGGGTAACCCTGCCTCCCCTGACAGTTGGTGCAACTTGTATCGTACACAGGCTGGGTTACGCTATTCAAACCTGATGCGAGATGCGTTAAATTTACTGAGCCAGACGTCACGGCCAATGCACGCGATACTAAGGATTAAAAAATTCTAACTCTGAACCAAGACCGTACCGTCTCGGCCACGATTGCCGTTGTACCACCGATGTTGGAAGGACACATCCGTGAAAAACCGGTTTTCAGCACGAATAGTTTTCGTGCTATAATTAGGACGACAGATCCTCCTACATTCAAACAACGGGATTCGATCCCGTTCGGTGGTCGTGCCGGCCAACCGGTCCAACTCTCTGGATGGAGGCATCTACGGATACTCCACTTGAGGAGCGTGGCGCAGGACATTTCGGTTCCTAGCCTCTTTATTGGTATCAGCACGAGCACTGACACCATTGACACCTCGATCCTTCGAGTTACTTCGCTCGTAATGATGTATAGGTGCATCACCACCATCCCCACGCGTCCTATAGTTGGATGGACTTGTGTGAGGCGGGGATTAGTCGGAATTATCGCTCGATCCGAAGATTTCGAGCATGATGCCGCCGCGTTGACCAGAGCCAGTCAAACTGTCTCTTGAAGTGTCCGCCTTGGGTGATTTAGAGGCTGGAAAGTGCCGCCTTCGAGTCTGATGCATCATTCGACTCGCCGGATTCGATGGCCTCTACTTTAGGCTCATCTACATTGCGAGTCACAGGACCTTCTGCAGACGCAGCGGATGTATCTGTCGCACGTGGTGACTCAACACGTGGACTATTCACAACAGGCACCGCCTCTGCAGAATCGCAACAGCAGAAAATGACCACCTGCTGCTGAAGCAAGAGAAGAACTTTCTCTGGCTGCACGCACGCGTGCTGCGCTGTTCAGGCTGCTTCGGCAGCACACCGCATGGACTTTGAAACCACGCGATAAATTCGTAAAAGAATTGGAATCTGACAAACAAGTGCTCTCTTCCTATATTAATCTAATGGTGGTCACTCTGTCCCAATCAGTTAAATTCAATCACCGGGTGATTGATGGTTAAGGGAGGGGTTGATGTTATGGGGTAGCCCTTTACATGATATTGACACCAAACGGTGTCAATAGAGATATTGTCTAGCGTGACAATTCCCTACCAAAATTATCCGAGATGGATAATATTGAAGGAATGTTATTCACTTGTAGGATAATGTTCATGCGCTGCTCCAAGATTGGTTGATAAAAGACATATCAACCGCATATTACCATCAGTAGCAGCTAGACGCGCGCAATGAGTGCTGAGCAGGTTGTCGTCATACGATAATGTAGATTAATATAGTTCGATGAAGATTGAAGTTATATGGATAGCTTAACGATATTAAATACAGTTCTCTTTGTACACTTTACTCAAACTATCTGTTTGAGTAGATTAGCTTCCTCTGCACGTACTAGTGTACGTAAAGTTTCGTGGCACCCCAAAAAAAAAAGGGTGCCCCGTACAATGGAAGCTCTCGGTAGTGGTCAGAGAAGATTTATAATGATGAATTCTAACTTTTAGCCATCGCGTAGCGTGATCAATCATATTAATTCTGTCGTTTCCATCCTTTAAGAGTTATTGAGGTCGACGTGATCAGTATAAAAACAGGACCTACTCTCTTGAGTTTTGGGTCGGCAATGATCCATTAAATTACTTTTCTCCACATACCTTGTCTTTCTTTCAAATGAGACAGATCTTTTTCGCTTTGATTATTAAGGCTTTTGTACCGGATGCATGACTAGCTCCAGACGAGCAACCGGAGAAGCCGGTAGTCAAGATTGTTGCTGCCTTCAGACCAAGGCTTCTTATTCTTATAAAAATGACATCTTAATTTTTATGTTCATGAAGCACATGACCATGCATGACACATCAGTTGCAGCACAAATACCTCAGCGAGCTGCATTGGGCGAAGTATCAATTTCGTCAATTTGCTTTTGTGAATACGTGTCAGCATCAGCATTCTTAGATCCCTTAATGTAGTGCCTATAGAGACGGTTCTACGCAATCAGAAGCTACCAATGTTGACGCGAATGCTGAACAGGTCGAATAAACGATATTCATATTGTGGGCGTGAACAACCTCAGCGGAACCGAGCAGCTCAGTTTAAATTTTGCGCAATCTTTCGGCAATAGAAAGAAGCGCAATCTCCATTGTCGTGTAGTGTATGTGTCGCTTGTTAAGGATACGCAAGAATATGATTCTTCTGCAAACTAGTTCTATACACTGCTTGACGCTAGCGACGGAGTAGATGTGAAATGTTGCTCGAAGTCGGGAACGCAAGCAGGACCGCTTTAAAAAAACGCTTTTTGTACAGCGTGAAATGCTTGCGCGTCACGTGTTGGCCACTCAAATTGAACTTCGGAGTTTGCGAACCGGTGAAGTAATTGACACATTGCCGTCTTCTTTAGTTCATCTTTTTGTTATCGTTTATTATCCCGAAAAGCTTCATAGTTTCTTCTTGGTCTTCGGTATGACGATTAGTGAATTACTTAAATTTTAATCTGCTGGGGATGAGTCCCTGAGGAAGTAAGCGTAAAACCAAGGTAGTCGATGGACTAGCGTAGTATGTGTCATTTCGTGCCGTTGAGAGCCACGTCATGCTTATCTAGTCTCTTGAACACGATATTTAGACTCCTTCAGGCCCACTGGAAATGTAGCAATCATCCTAAGAGGATCATTAGGGCCAAATGATCGGTATCCTTCTTGCTGTCTGGTGTAACGGGGAACCCTTTGTTTTGGAGTGCCACGAAACTTTACGTACACTAGTACGTGCAGAGGAAGCTAATCTACTCAAACAGATAGTTTGAGTAAAGAGTACAAAGAGAACTGTATTTAATATCGTTAAGCTATCTAAATAACTTCAATCTTTATCTAACTATGTTAATCTACATTGTCGTATGACAACAACCTGCTCAGCACTCATTGCGCGCGTCTAGCTGCGATTGGTTGCAAACTATGGTTGATATGTCTTTTATCAAACAATCTTGGAGCAGCGCATGAACATTATCCTACAAGGGAATAACATTCCTTCAATATTACCCATCTCTGATAATATTGGGAGGGAATTGTCACGCTAGACAATATCTCTATTGACACCGTTTGGTGTCAATATCGATCTACCCCGTTACATCTGGTCTCTGCTCGATTTTTTTCAGGGGCATTTCCGCCAACTCATGAATTCTTTTGGCATCAAACGATAGTCTCAATGCACACAGCACCCATCTACCCTCGTCTTGTAAGTATAGGAGGGTGTTCCAACAAAAATGATGTTGTCGACACTACTTTCTTACAAATTCGGCGAGGCCGCAAGTGTAACGGAGCACCCTGAAGCTTGTACTGATGACAGTACAAGCTACTTATTCCGATGACAGAATAAGGCGGTGCCTCGGAACTTCACGTACACTCGTACGTGCAGAGGAAGACGGTAAGAAGAAGCGAGTAGTTAGTTTAAGTAAAAAATAGAACTGTATTTATAATAGTTAATGTCTGTTAATAAACCACTATTTATCCTCATCTAACTATGTCTGAATACAAATGTGTAAATCAGTTATCTGCTCACCACTCATTGCGTGCATCTGTCGTGGCGCGTCTTCGTTGGTTGATATAATGGCCTATATCAACCAATTAGGAACTACTTGTAGGTGCTACAGAATATTTGTCCTTATGACAATATTCTGAGAATATAACTCTTATAGTTATATTCTACTAACAATTTCTTATAAATTGTTATGTAACGATTCACCCCGTTACGTCACCCCCCCTTAACCATAAGTCACGTTAGTGACTGATTGACTAAATGAATACTCGTCCCAAATCATTTGGGACAGGGTTTGCACTTG